CTAAAATTATGCTTTTAAAATTATTTTTAGATGAAGTAGATTCAAATGAACTTCTGATTGATTCTTTTATAGTTACTTTTATGTGAAGGGTAAAATCATACAAACTACATTTAATGATATGAGAGCAAGGGTGACAGAAGGGGAAGGGAGGAGAGAGAATTTAAACAAAGTACTTGTCAATATTCATAAGAGAGAAATAAATATTGTGCAGTGGTGAGCCAGAGATATGTTACTGCTATCCCAACTGGTGGATGTCTAATAGTGTTGCTGTTTGGATTTTGTGTCATAGAATTGTGCCACACAATTCTTTGCATTAGCTTTTGGCTAATAAAAAATAAAAATAACCAGATGATTTAATTGCAGGTACCCTTGGATGTTTCTAAATTTCATTATAATTACAAAATATTTTTATATAATCAGCCCTAAAGGTAATCTGACTACTTCTGCTGTTTATTGCTATCATCATGTACAAGGTGACTTATTTATCATGGTCCCTGAAGAATGGAGAATGTTGATGAAATACATATTTAGCTTTATGAACTTTTAATAAATATAACAAAGAAGAGTGGGGTTAAGATCAATATGAAAAACAAACAAACTATTATTGGTTGTATGAAGGTAATCTAGCTTCTTTGTTCATGTGTACTGACTTACTGCTAGGGATGTCTAATCTAATAGTTGTCAGTTTTTTCTCTCAGTGTATTCTTTTTTGGTCTTGATGGAACATAGAAACCTTGTAACAAACCCAGAGCATGTGGTGTAATAACAGGTTGGCTGTGTATGTCTCCATGAGACTGTTTCTGTGGCATCTAGTTCTAAATAGAGTAGCATTTAACATAGAAGACACAACAGCTTTTGCATCTGAGACTGTCCGTCTCTGAGTTTAAATGGTTAAACTTGGGAGCAATGCACTGTAGTGCTTTTAGTTGAGAATTTAACAAGAAAATGTTACTCAGTTTCTTATGAATTGCTCCAACTTTTCTTTAGAAATTCTACTGATAAAATATGCTAAGAAAAACAAGACAAATTTTTTTTTTTTTTAAAAATATTCACTGCCTGTCTGGAAATCAGGTGTTGTTTGTATTTGCTCAATAATAACAAAGTTGCATGCATGCAAACAATGTTGATTCTGGGCATTTAACAGTAATCTCTAGAGAGGTATAAATAGTGAGATTCCTTTTAGATATTAATTTCCATTAGTATGTAATGTGTTCTTTCAGGGAGTGTAGGAAGAAAGAGAATTATAGAATAAAATTATAAACATTCCATCTATATTTTGTAATTAACAAAAGATCCCAATATGCAGAATAATAGTACAGCTATAAGGATTTTAAGACTAAAATAAAATTTATTTTTATTATAAAATGTATTTTCATGTTAACATTAATCTTTGCATGTGAAGTTGGTTATGTAGTTACTTTAAAAACTCAAATCTCTATGTTCCATATATCAGATATGATGAAATTTCTTTCTTTTCTTGGAAAGCCAAACAGCCCAAATCTCTCAATGATAGGCTGGTTCTCACAGGGACTGGACAATCATTTTCAAAGAATTCTGTTTCTATTTTAAGTTCTATACTCTGTAGTCTATATGTATCAGTGGAATTTTTATGATTACAACTTCCCTTTTTACTGTTGTATCCTTTATATTGTCATTTGCAGTTTTCTGTGGAAGCATGCACAAACATTAGGTATATAGGCCAGTGATCAGGCCACAGTGCTGTATGTAGCTCTGGACAGACCTTCAGTTTGTTAAGTATAGTTAACGTGTACTGTTGTGACTATTGCTATAAATATTCATAAAGTCTCATTCAAAATGATGCATTCTTTCTGTTGGTGGGCAGATACATTGCTCCCAGTAATTCTCCTGTTAGGCAGTCTTGCTCTCGTCTTTTCTGTCCAGTGCCTGTGGTTCACTTGGTTTTGTAGCTCAAGTATCTCAATATATGGACAAAAGATGAAACTTAGAATTTCCATGTTAGCAGACTAGAAGTAGAGAACTTCCTTTATCAGAAGGTTTTCCAAAACTCAGGGAAACAGTCCTTACAACCCAGCATACTGTACTAATGAAATGCTGACTTCTTGCTCTGTTGTGGAAGGTTAGACCTGGAGGCTATGTGATGGACAGTTAGACCAGGAAACTGCAATGGGAAGTTAGACCTGGAGACTTTGTGATAGGCAGTTAGACCTGGAGACTCTGTGATGGGCAGTTAGACCTGGAGACTCTGCAGAGGAGGAGACTCTACAGAATCATTTTTATTTCTATTCCAAAGCTTATTTTCAGTAATTTAAAATTAGCAACAACATGCTACTAAGGAAAGATTACAAACCCCAAGAAGTCCTTGAGAATGCAATTTGCTAATGTATGCCAGTTGTACCTTCTTTATATTTGTTTAACAAATTAATTATGAATGGTATGCTGTGGTTATATTTGTGTGCTAAGGTTAGTATAACAAAATATCACAGACTGTGCAGCTTAGAAGATATTTTTCCCTCCCAAATATGATGGCTGCAAGTCCAAGGTTATGGTGCCAGAAGGTCTGACTTTTCCTTGTTTTTTTGACTTATAGGTGCCCACCATCCTACTCTGCCCTCAGTGGTCTTTCCTCTGTGTACAAGAGTCATGGTCCTTCTTTCTATGCCCACGTGGTCTCCCTTTTGAGGGCATCAGTTATACTGGAGGAGTGCCCACTTCAGTCTTACTTTAGTTCAACCAAAGCTTCAGAAGCTCCATCTCCAAATATATTCAAATTCTGAGGGACTCGTGTGCTGAGATGTTGGGGATTGGGACCTTGACACATAGATTTTGGTGACATGTTCATTTAGTAACCCTGATAATAAAGATTCTGATTACAAATGGCTTCTTGATGTGCATACATTCATAAGGCAGTTTGGAAATTTAAAAGTGCTCTGTCCAAAAGAAAGAAATAAAAGACACAACTAAACTACAGCTTTAGATGGTGTATCGATAGAAGTAATGCATATGTGAACTTGGAATTGTTTTCTGGAAACATAAAATCGATAAGTAGTTTCTATTTTAATTTTATAGTACAGGTAATTCAAATATATAACTAAGTGTATAATGTAATTTTTAAAATAGATATTTTAGTTTTATCACCACCCATGATAGTTTTAAATTACAGTTGGTAAAAAAAAAAAAAAAAAGTCTTTTATATTTTTTCATAGGAAGCAGACAGGATAGATTTTATTTGATCAAAAGTAGTCACTTCAGCATAGTAATTTCTGTGTACACATAAAACCATGTATTAAAAACCTGGAGACTTATAGGAAATGAACACACAGCATCCAATCATTGTCAGTGACTCTCAGAAGGATGAAAGCCTAACAAAACAGCAGTGTAGTTTCAGACTTTCCAGATGGTCAAGAAGTGCATGTACCCAAGGCTTGGATCATGAACTCAGATTTTATGGGAGTGAATACCAGAAGGATCAAGATAGAAGCATTGTGAATTTGGAAGGAAAGCTGTATTGACTTGTGGATGGTTGTGGCTCACCTGATAAGCTCCTGGAGATGTCTCGGGAGTGAATGTATTTTGAGTGTTCTTCATGGCTTGAATCAGTAGGGTGGAGTTTTCTGTGTTCATCTGGGGTTTCTTGAAGATGAGATGAACAAGAAACACAGTTTTTGTAATGCTCAAGTTGTTGCCTCATGTGTGAAGTACATTACTTCTCATGTTTACTTTCATCATTATTCAGAATTAGACTTTCTCTTTTTAAATGAAATGTTGGGGGACAGTCTGGTATTTGACTGCTACATAACAATCCAAGTAGCTTGGGGAGTTTTAAGTTTTCCAGGCTAATGAATAAGTGTTGAAGGTATAGAAACAGATGTTCTCATGAGTCTAATGCTTTGCCAGTGTGGTCCACAGAAAGGCGTCAGTCCTTTGTTTCAAGCAAACAGTTGCTTCAGTTACCACCTAATATTTTCTGTTACTTAATCATTTATTTTTTAGAAATTGGGCTCCATGCTTTCTGTCTTGGCCTTGGCTGCGTGGTTCTTCTGCCTTTGTCTCCTACGCTCTGGGATGCTTGCATTCACAACTCCTGGCCTTACTTTTGGGATTGCCACAACACAGTTTGTTTCTTCTTAACCTAAGTCAGGAAAAGCCCATGGTCCACCTGTTGCATCTAAGAACTGGCTGTTTTACTTCAAAGTTTACCTGCAACAGGTTCCTGGAGAACCCTAATTCTTTGACTTTGGTGTGTCCAGGAACCATGATGCCAAGTGAAGTGTTTTTGTTTTTCTGTTCTTAGAACACAGTTCACTTGAGGGATCCTCAGTTTATTCCCTAGAAATGACCAGATGACCTTTGCCTTACCACAGTTCCCATCCTCCTTTCCATCTCTGCAGTGTTCTCTGTGCCGGTGCCTCTAGTAGTGTAGCATGGCGTATTTGGGAGTCTGACTGAGTGTGTAGTTCTTGAGTGTGTAGAGCACATCATTATTGTCTATCATGTGTGTCACAGGGCTGACTAAATGGCAGAATGAATGGAGTACACTTGAAAAGGTTGTCCTTGTGTCCTGTTATGCAGGTTTTCCTCTCATTTGATATTTGTTAGGTATTTGGGTCACTTGAATTTTAGTATTATAAATCATGCCTGTACATTCCAAAATTTTAGCTGTGAAATAACAAACTTTCCTTTGTGAACCAAACATCTCATACCTTCTCAGATTTTTGTTTCCTGGCACTTTTTTTTTTCTTTTTTCTTTTTTCCTTTTTTTTTTTTTTTTTTGTAACTCTGGTATTGCGAGAGATTATCATTTCAAGATACAATACAGTAGTGAAATCCTGTAATTTTCAACTTTCTCTTATAAGTTCTAAAGTTGTGAAAGTTTCTAATATGTGTTCATGACATAGAACAAAAGAAGGAGGTGGTTTCTCTAAAGCAGTAAGGGGAATACTTGTGCATGACATATTGGTTATGATTTCAACAGTAAGCAATTCTGCATGCCGGTTTTAAGATTTCCTTTCTCTTTGCAGGACCTCTTTGTTGTTCGGCACGAGCTGGCTATCATGAGACTAGCTGCCTTTATGGGCATTACTATGTTAGTTGGAATAACTGGACTCTTTTACACACAACTCATTGGCATCATCACAGTAAGTATATTTTTTATGTAAACTAGCATGTATGAACAGATGATGTAATTGTGGGCTTAATTCTAAAAAGTTATGTGAAGTTTACAAGTTGAAGAAAATATTAGTTACAATTGTTAATTAAGTATAAAGTATACATCAAATTTTACATCCCTCTTAAAAATGAGCAAAGTATTTTTATATAATAGCAGTGCTTATCTTTAATACTTGTGCTTATAGTCTTAATAATGACATTGTAAACTATGTATATTTATTGATACGCAAACTAACTTAATAACTCATCATTACTGTTCAGAATGTCTGAAAGGCTGACAGCTCCTCCTTTTTATATTTGATATGGAAAAGTCATAGAGGAATGTCAAGTCTACTTGGACATTTCTTTATCACAACAAAAGAGATTTAAAAACAGAAAAATCATAAAGACTGAAACAGAATATCGGAGAGAATGTAGGTCAAGCAGGCTTTCTTAAAGGAGTATAATTTGATTGAATCTTGTTGGAAGGTGAATTGTCATTGCCTATCAGAATTTAAAATGTCTATTCATTTTGACCAGCCTTGTCAACATAACTTTGTAGAAGCTATGTATTTGAATACCTGTAAACATGCTCAAAGGACTGCACCATTTTATTGCATTTAACATCTATATTGCATATGATCATTTAAGTGCTTATAGCATATAATGAATAAAGTAAAGATAGAAAACCTCAAAGCCTACCATTAAGCAACAGTATTCAAGAATTGTGGTACTGGCCTGAGGATGGACATTTATGTACATGAACTAGACTTAAGAGCTATATAGTCCCTTGCTGTCTGTAGAGAATTAGTTTTAGGATGCTCTGTGGATGCCAAAATGTACAGTAGCTGCTAAAATCCCTTATTGGAATAGCATAATATTTACATATATATCTCCCTGTATACTTTAAATCTTTTCTAGATCCTCTATAATAGATCCTCTATAATAACCTAATACAGTACCAGTGCTATGTAAATTCTTGCTATACTATATAAGTTGTTTAGGGTAGGATGTCTAGAAAGGTCTGCATGTTCAGTGTGGGTGCAATGTTTTTCCTAGTATTCTTAGCCCATAGTTGGTTAAATACACAAATACAGAACCCAGGAAAAGGGGGAACCAGAATATACATGTATGTGTGTGTGTGTGTATGTATGTATGTATGTATGTAATGCATGCATGTATGTATGTATGTATACATATGTATGTATATCAATAGATTTTCAATAAAAATGCCAAGACTATTCAATGCAGAAAAGAATAGTCTCAACAAATATTCTGGGACTGCTAGATATTCACATGCTTTATGGTATATGCAAAAAGTTATCACAGAATGGATTGTACTGAAATGTAGAAGTTGGAGTAGTAATACTAAGAAGAAAACATAATCCATAATGTTGGTGTCTTGATAGAACACCCAAAGTGAAAACTACCAGAGAAAAATAGTTGAACTTCAACAAAATGACAGACTTTTGTGCATCAAGGGACCCTATTCAAGGCAGTGTGAAGAGGCCTTAGAACTCAGTTGGTCCTCACACACTGTTGTGGTATGACATTTTGCAGTGTTGCAGAGAGCAGCTCCACAGCTCTATAAACAGCAAACCACAGAGTTCTCTGAGACTCAGCAGTTCCTTTCCCATGTCCAGACCAAAAGATGGGTGTGTGTACACACAGCTTTATTCTGAGGAGCCCCGGACAGGAGGAAGTACAACACCTGTTGATTATGTGTATGCAAGGATGTATGATTTGTCCCTGAGACTATGAGAATGAAGTGTTGCCACATGGTACTCTGCATATAATCCTGAAGACTTAAAGACCACATGCTGCATCAAGTCCATTTGTATGAAATGTGCAGAATAGGTACATAGTGGAAGATAATGGCATACTAATTGCATAGGGCTTGGAGATGAGGATGACAGTTCAGGGTCGTAGTTTCTTTCTGTGATAATAAACATGTTCTGGAAGTGAAATACTGGGTCACATGAAGACCCCCTCCCCCCACTGCTGTTGGACTTTTTATCAAGTGAGGCACAGTTCTTCAACAATGTATGAGAATAATTTTGGTTGCTCCATATCATTGCTATGTCTTGATGACGGTCTTGGTAATTGTAGCTATTTTTGTGGTTTATAATAGTACTTTTTCCATTTGCATTTCTCTGATGACAGATGTTGGATACTTCATATGCTTATGGGGTTCCATGGAACTTTGTGACGTGCCCGGTTCGATCTGTTTTATCTTTTACCATTGAGTGTAAATATTCCTAGTACACCTTGGTAGTGATGATAATAAGTGACATGGCTATGAGTAACAATGCTGAGGATAAGAATTGTTTCCCCTAAAATTCTGCTCTTTACTGTTAAACCCATTCATAAGTACTTGATAATGATGAACTTCTAATTCACAAGACATGTCAAAATCAGTAAGTTATGTACATTGCTTAATCTCCAACCTTGAATTTGCCAGTATCTCTAGTGGATATTTAAATTCCTCAAACAGAAGTTTTCAGATTCCCCTGTTCTTACTGTTAATAGTTAGGAGTGAATATATGGAAACATCCAGCTAAAAGTGCATATCACTCCCCAGGGCTCACAGGGGCTAGTGGCTAAGTAACAGCTTCCTTCTTCCTGTGAATCCCCATTAACGTCTATGATTGTACTTTGATGGCAACTGTTTCAAACATTTAAAGGATCCCCACTCTAAAGTTGAACTTTCTAAGCTGAACATAATAATAAATGAGGTACTTGTTACTTGCTTGGTTCTAGCCTTATATTATCACAATGCAACATGTTAATTATTTTCAGATCGTATGCAGTATGTGTTTTTAAAATATTGAATAGCAGTTCATTGTATTAAGTAGAGAAATTAAGTTCTGATAGGTTATTTCTAAACTGTGTAGAAACCACACACAAAATAGAACAACTGTGAGGCATTCAGAAAAAGATGCAAATGCTGAGGGAATATATTTTGTCAGTCTGATGCTCAACCACTGTACTTGTTCTCAAATACAAATGCTCATAATGGAATTTGTTCTAAATTGGGATGAGGAGATAGCTCCTTCAGTAGCACAGGTGCCAGGACCTGAGTTTGATTCTTAGAACCATAAATCAAAACCAGGTGTAGCAGCACAGCTTGTGTTGGAAGAGGGGAGCAGGTGGGGCCCTGGGATTCAATGGGCAGCCAGTGTAGCTGAATCAGTGAGCTCCAGATTCAGTGAGAGACCCTGCCTCAAAAATAAAGTGGAGAATAACTATGGAGGGTACCTGGTATCCATCTCTGACCTTTACATGAATGTGCACGCGTGCCCACACACCCACACAAACACCACAAAGAGAAAGTGAAGGAAATGACAGTAAGTTTGAAGTCTGTTTCCTCCAGTTGTCATGGTGAATGTCAAGCACTGCTCTTTTGGGATTAATTTAGTAATAGTTTCAAAATGTACTCCTCTCCTTGATTTAGAGAGGCTCAGTTGTTGACAGTCGGCATGACTTCAGTTTGTGACTTAAACCTAAAAAGAAATTACTAACACCTGTACAAAATAACATCAAAAACATTGAAGTTAAAAATACAGACTATGCTTACCTTCTTCATAAATACTTGCTCTGTTCCATTTTTTTGTTACACTAAGCTTATCTATAGACTTCTGGATACCTTTTCATCATATCAGGATGAACTGTGAGACAGTGGTGAATTTGAAGATAGCATTCAAACAATGGAGAATTAACAGTGGATTGAGTCATTCCACAGAAGTTGTGTTCCTCTTCCCTACCCTTGTGTCCCCCATATCCAAAAGATTTTTTGGGAAGAAAGGATATCACTTCCTTATGGAGAATTGGAGTGTCATAGCTTGAGTGTAGGTCTATTAAGCAACACATGGGCAAACAAATGTTGGTTTTGTACTTTTAGCTGAGGCTTTAGAGAAGCAGGGTTCCAATTTTTGGTAATTATTTTCCCTTGTTTCCTTTAACCTGGAATGAATAACCCCCACCTCATAATTTTATTTCCAAAATTAAAGGATTGTAACACAATCAGGTATTTCTAGTAAGTTGGCTAATCTGAAGTAGAATTTTAAGGGTTTACTTTATTTTCAAATTTGATTTAAATTAGGCTTTAAACATATGTGTTGAGTGATTAACTGAATTAGAAGTCATATTTATAAAAGCAATTGGCTCTGGTGCAGTTTCCTTTACTTAGGAAACAAGTTATCGTAGTGGCCCTTACTGAGACTTAGCTTTTTGCTTTTGTATCTGAGTGAAGTAGGCAGTGATAATGTTATTAATGTAGTTGACATCAGAATTAAGGAGCAATAATAGTCCCAGGCAGCAAGAGGGAAGGTCCTTGCTGGTGAGCCCCAGTGTTGACAGTGCAAGGTAGTCAGCCTGTTCAGTTTCCAGAAGCCTCACAGCTGGCCAGTATCCCTGGGGAGGTTCTGACAGGGAATTGTTTTTTTTTTTTTTTTTTTTTTTTTTTTTTTGCTGTGACACTCCTTTGTTAGTTTGTCTAAATTCTGTATTTCCTGGGCACAGGAGTTTGTGTGCTAGAGTGAGCTTCTGATGTCATCTTTGAAGCCCAGTGCATTTGTTGTTCTGTGTGCGAAGTTAGGGTAGGGTGAGGAAGATGTATTGAGTTATACCTTTGTAAAAGCTAAGTGATTGTTGTCTTGGTCTCACAGATGCTATTGGATTCTAGTTGAATACAAAAGATATCTTTTAAAATCATTACAGAGAAATATTTTTCCTTATACCTACTGATTGATGTTTGATTTGCACTCAACCTTTGCTTAAATATAAAAAGAATCATTAGTACATGGATGACTCTGGTGATTTGAAGTACAATGGCCTCTATAGGCTCATCATATATTTGAATAATTACTCACCACAGAGTGGAACTCTTGACAGGATTAGAAGGATTAGGAGGTGTGGCCTTATTAGAGGAAAAGTGAGTCACTCTGGTGAGCTTTGATCTTTCTGAAGCCCATGTCAGGCCCAGTCAGTC